TTTTTTTTTTTTTTTTTTTTTCAAGGGAGTGTCCCCGAACATTATCGTGATTTTTTATTTTGAGTCCGATTCTGTGCGGATTCGAACTCATAATGTGTGTACTATTTTGCTACATGCCGCTCTCTCTTCCCCCCCCCCCTTAACCACAGGTGCTTGGTTTTTGCGCTTCATTTCCGGTTTATCCTCGTGAGTGCGTCAAAGTACTTCATACAGCAGAGGGATGGTTAAGAGAGGGGCGCAAAGTCCGGGCCGGCGAATTACCCGCAAAGGTACGAAATCTATGGAGTGAGTGGAACGTAGATGTGAATTCTGTTCATTAAGTCAGAGCTGACGTTCTTAGTCAGGAATCCTTCTGTGTGGACCTGGTCCACGATACAAGGACACAAGACTGGGATGTGTGCCACATTACAAAGGCCAGGTTGTTGTATTACTATAGACCAGGTCCATGTATGATTAATATGTTGTAGACCAGACCATCGTGCCTGGTTCATAAGGAAAGGATTTGGTCCACAGTACGAGGACCTGGTTTAGAAGAACCAGGATCTGGCTCCACAATATGGGAACCAGATGCTTGTATTATCATCAACCAGGTCCATGCATTATGAATTTATTATAGACCAGGTCCTTGTATTGTGGACACGGTCCCCTTTTTCAAAGGACCAGGTACAAGGACCTGGTTCATAAGAAAGTCCTTGCAGGAGTTGCACTGTGAATTTTACTATTTTTTTTATTGTGTGGTCCGTAATAATACGAGTATCTGGTCCACAATACAAGGACCTTGTCCAAGTACATGAACCTGGTCCACAATGCAAGAAGGACCTGGTCCAAATACGTGGACCTGGTTCATGATACAAGAGGCATCTGGTACACAATACAAGTGACTTCGTCACACTTTGTCAATGAACATGATTTCTTTTTATGACAGGAGTTGATAGGCCTCTGTGGCAACCTTCTTCAACCGAATGGAACGTATGGTAATTATAGTTGTATCTAGACTGACACATGCCTCAAGTATAGTTATAAGCCTATAACGACCGTACAATTTTTTTTTGGGAGAAGACGGAGCTCAACTTATGGTGAAGTTTCATTTGTGTGAAAGGCGAAACTTCGTTTCTCATTCATGTGGCTTGCGTGCGAGGCGGCGGCAGCGTGTTGGACGATATTGCTTTGCCACAGGACATGATGCCAGCCGGAATTTTGAAAAGAAAGCCGCTGCCGCTGCGAGTGCAATGTGGATTTAGTAGCAGCACTTGCTTGGTTGGTTTCCGTTTTTTGTTGTTGTTGTTGTTGATATTAAGGCATTGTTGTGTGTGATCTTCAGATTGTGAAATCAAATGCTGGTAGAGGAGTGATGGCTGCGAAAGCCTCACAAGCTAAGGAGAAGGAGAAGGATTCGGCAGGCGGAGGGGAGAAGAAGACGGTGGGGCTTTTCGGGCAATGGCAGACAGACGAGTGGACGCCTCCGGCCGCCAAAGATGGGAAAGTCCCCAAGGTAGAGCTCTTATGGACTTACACAGAACAAAGAAAAGCAAGCGGTTAACAGGTAGCTGAAAATTCAGAAATGAAAATTATGAAGTGAGAGTTTAGGCAGTCTGAAAATCCTGAATTGTCCTGAAGTGGTGAAGGATCCGAAGACCTTGAAAACCACCTGTTTAGGCAGGCTGAATCCTGAAGTGGTGAAGGGTCTCCTGAAGTGGTGATGAAAAATACGACTTTTGTTAACCTTCTCTCGGTTTTCTTTTATTTTATTAAGAATAAAGCGGCAGAGCTTCTGTGTGTGTGTGTGTGTGTGTGTGTGTGTGTGTGTGTGTGTGTGTGTGTGTGTGAAAGAGAGAGAGAGAGAGAGAGGTGCAGTTTGTTTGTTCCTATCTTTTTCTCATTTTCTTTTATGTCATTTCTCTTTGCAGAATGAACGAGGACAAGTGGATGTTTGGTCAGAAAAGTGTATTCCTCCAGGGACGGTGCACATCCGACTCCCGCGTGTGCACCAGGTTGCGATTCGTCTGGGCATCGACTTCGCTCCGGCTATGGTAAGTCTATGTTACTCGTAATTATTGTGCTTTTCTTTTTGGTTTTCTTTTTTTTAATATTTTGATGATGATGATGATGATGCAGCTTCCTAAGGTGTTTTTTAAAAGTTAACATTTTTTGGTATGATCAACGGTCAACCTGCATTATGGTGGTTTTCAGTTTTTTAAGGTGTTTTGTGTTTTTGGAACTTTCTAAAAAATAAATCAATCTGTTTTAGGTTGCTAACTTTCTACTAAGGTTTTTTGCATACTTGCGGCGCATCGAGGTGCGCGACATCCCGCCCGTGCGCTGCACCGCGCACTGCGCACGGGGTGCAGCGCACCCCGAAAATAAGGGGTCGGCCAAAAAAAAAAAAAGTTTGGGAGGGGTGTTGTAGGCTCAAGTGGGATGTCGCGTCAAGAAACAAAAAAAAAAAAAAAAAAACAATTTGAGGCCGCGCGAGGCCCCGGAAAAAAAAAGGGTGGGGAGCTGAATTTTTTTTTTTAAGGAAGAACATCAGAATTTCTTTGCACGAGTGAAGCCCTGCGCGTCCAACCTGTCAGAACCTCAACGGTAATGTTCACCAACGGGCTCGCTGCACAACTCTCGACATGCACAACAAGACATAGGGCCTCGCTGCTTGACCTGTCTCTTATACACATCTAGATGTGTATAAGAGACAGGCTTAGGGGCCTCTGTACGTTCGACCGGGCAGTTCTGTTTGTTACGATATATATATCG